GTCCTTTGAATCTTGACGGTCACTCCCCTGGAAAAGAAGCAAACCGACAATGACCTCATATGGAGCGCCGACCTTGAGGTCTTACTGAATGGTTTAATGGAGATACTTCATAATTTCACCTTAAAATGACCACCGTCGCTGGATAGAATTGCATCTCTGGCTTACTTTATTCAAATGACCCTGTTTACACCATCACAGACCTAAACAACTGCTACACTCTGCGTGATACTACACAAAACCAGGCCCAAATTTCCCCATCCGTCTCAGTATTTAAAACTGGTTTTGGATGTCATCTGTTGACAGCACAAGTTTATCGAATACTGACATGTCTTCAACTTCTTTCGTTCTCAAAATTCCATATACAAAATAGACTCATAGACCATATGACTTACAGTTGCCAGGATACCTCTCGTACCGAGTGACTATACCTGTATTAATTTTCGCTGCTGCTGTCTAACGATATGGATTTAACCGAATATTTGTGGCCACCAATATCCAGAAGACTTTGTATAGCACGGTGATTTGTTTCTTTTTGAACACTTTCAGCTTCACTAAGGAAAGTAACGTTCAGATATTGCCTGACAAACGGCATTTGTTCGTATAGTTCATTATTCGAAATATATATATGTATATACATATATATATATATATACATACATATATATATATATATACGTCATTACCATTACTATCACGGCAGTATAGTCCTCCTAGCTACCAGTCATGAGAAGTTATGGGGTGAAACATGGCACGGTAGCTTTTCAGTCTAAGTCTAAGCCAGGGGCTATGGAATGGTAGAACCTGGCTAAGAGAAGTAAATAGGTCTAAGATTACTCAATTCAAGCGTGCGGGCTGTTGTGACTGATGTAGGAGAAATCAACGACGTTTTGTAAGTGAAAGCTGCCAAGTCGCTAGTCACAACGGGTTGCAGTTTTTGAAGCATGATTTACATCGACCTTAGTAGATCTCATTAGAAGAGCCTGTGAAAATGCAATCAGCGGATATTTATAAAAAAATCCTTTTTACTTTCCCGTAAGCATATCGGTATCTGAACCGTCAACCTCGCCTGGTTAACTAGTTTACTAGTTACTAGCCGGTCCTAAGCCCGGGTAAAGAGGGAAGGTTGGGCATAGGGCTAGCAACCCTACCCCGTAAAACAAATCTAACCGCTAAAGAAACTTCAAAGCACAAACAAAATATAAAAAATGAAAACAAACTTATTCCCCGCTGGAATCGGAGAGGCGAAATGACGCCAGTTGGTGAAAGCCTGTCTTCGGGAAGCCAATTGGCCGAGCCGATGTGTCTTCTCTCCCTCGATGAAAGCGAAAGTAAACGTGGGGACATGGAATGTCCGCACGATGTTTGAACCCAGTAAGGCAGCCCAGATTGCAAAAGAGATGAGAAGGTATAACATCGAATTGCTTGGGATTTGCGAAAGCAGATGGAATGGGAGTGGACTCTCCAAACTGTCAACTGGAGAATCAATAATCTACTCCGATATTGTCACCCAGACGCCAACCACGAGCACACTGAGTTATGGAGTGGCTATCATGATGTCCTCAAGAGCATCGAAGGCTCTCATGCAGTGGGAACCAATCTCCTCCTGCAGGATCATGACAGCAAGATTCAACTCAAAAGGAAGAAAGGTCACAATCATACAATGTTATGCACCTACAAATAATGCAGATGAAGAGAAAAAGGAGGAATTCTACAGACAACTTCAATCAACACTGGACAAGACGTCAGTTGGCGATATCAAAATTCTAATGGGCGACATGAATGCCAAACTGGGAGGGGACAACACGGGAAGAGAACTAACCATGGGTCGAGAGGCACTAGGTGAAATGAATGAGAATGGAGAATTGTTTGCAGAATTCTGTGCCTTCAACGATTTGGTGATTGGAGGCAGTGTGTTCAGGCACAAGGATATCCACAAAGCGGCATGGATTTCACCAGATGGACACACTAAAAATCAAATCGACTTTATCTCAATCTCAAGAAAATGGAGACGCAGTCTACTTAACACAAGGTCAAGAAGAGGAGCAGATGTAGGTTCAGACCACTATCTAGTGCAGGGAACCTTCCAAATCAAGTTGAAAGCCTTCAAGGAAGTTGGTGATAGACCTCAATTCAAGTACAACACTCGGAAACTGAAGGATGAAACTACAAAGGAGATCTTCACGGCAGCCATCAAGACAAAATGGGAGACATCGAGGGACATCCCTGAAGAAACCTGAGTGGAAGAACACTGGAAGTCTTTGAAAGAGATGTGGAAAGAAACCTGCACAACAGTATTAGGAAGGAAGAAGAAAGGAGACAAGGAATGGATCTCGACGGATACCTGGAAGCTGATAGAAGAGAGGAGGATGGTGAAGCAGAAGATAAACCAGTGCAAGGATGCTCAGCGACAAGAGGAACTGAGCATAATGTATAAAACACTGGACAAAGAAGTAAAGAAGAGTGCACGCAAAGACAAAAGACACTTCTACGAAACACTGGCAAGTGAAGCAGAACAGGCTGTAGGTAGGAGAGACAGAGACCTGACAACATTGTATCAAATAACCAGGTTGCTATCTGGGAAGAGATCAACACAGATGAAGCAAATAAAAGATGAAGAAGGAAATTTAATTACAAAAGAAGAGAAACAGAGGAAACGATGGGCCGACCACTTCAAGAAGCTCTTGAATCGACCACCACCTGCACTTCGTCCAGAAATACCACCTGCAGCCGCTGAATTACAAGTGAACATTAATCCCCCAACGAAAATGGAAGTCCTGAACGCCATAAAGCTACTGAAATGCGGGAAAGCAGCAGGACCAGATGGGATACCGCCAGAAGCACTGAGAACAGATGCAGAGACAACAGCGGACATGCTCACACCACTATTGCAGAAGGTGTGGAAGGAAGAGAAGGTACCTGCCTATTGATTGGAAGAAGGGTTACCTTGTCAAACTGCCGAAGAAGGGAGACCTCAGTGCTTGCAAGAACTGGCGCGGAATCACCCTCCTGCCCACCCCAAGTAAAATATTAAGCCGCATCATCCTAGAGAGGCTTAAAGATGCACTGGATTCAAAACTACGACCGGAACAGGCAGGCTTCAGGAAGTACAAATCATGTGCAGACCAAATTGCAACGCTTCGTATCATCATAGAACAGAGCATAGAATGGCAGTCAGCTCTCTGCCTCAACTTCATCGACTTTGAGAAGGCCTTTGACAGCGTCGACCGACAAGTAATTTGGAAACTGCTTCAATACTACGGAGTACCGCAAACCTTTATCCGCCTCATTCAACAACTATATGAAGATGCCACATGCCAAGTAATCCACAATGGGAAGCTCAGTGATGCCTTTGAAGTGAAGACAGGAATGAAACAAGGTTGCCTACTATCTCCCATGATATTCCTTATTGTGGTGGACTGGATCATGCAGCAAACAGTAGGCAGCGAGAAGAGGGGGATACACTGGACTGCGGAAAAGAACCTAGAAGATCTGGATTTCGCCGATGACTTATGCCTAATGTCACATAAACTTGAAGATCTGCAGGCAAAAACTAACAAGTTGATAGAAGAGGCAGCTAATACGGGACTTCAGGTGAATATAGAGAAGACAGAAGTGATGAAGATACCGCACCAACAACTCCAACAACATCAACAAACTCCAGTCACCATCAACGGGAGAAACTTAAAGCAAGTAGCCTCCTTCACCTATCTAGGAAGCACTGTTTCAACTACAGGCGGGACGGACGAGGACGTCAAAGTCAGAATCGGAAAAGCAAGACAGGCGTTCATTAGCCTGAAACCAGTGTGGAGATCTTCTGCACTCAGCATGCGGAACAAGGTACGGATTTTCAACACCAACGTCAAGTCAGTGCTCTTGTATGGCTCAGAGACTTGGCGCGTCACGAAAGGCATTTCCAATAAACTACAGATATTCATCAACAACTGCTTACGCTCGCTACTGAAGATCAGATGGCCAGAAAGAATAAGCAACAAGGAACTCTGGGAACGAACCAACCAAGAACCTATCACGCAACAAATATGCCGGAAGAAGTGGAGATGGATTGGCCATGCACTGAGAAGGCCGACTGAGGACATCACGCGTCAGGCCCTCGAGTGGAACCCCGATGGGAAGCGACGAGTTGGACGTCCGAGGGTGACATGGAGGAGGTCGTGCGAAGAGGAAATGAGAGGTTGTGGGCTGTCGTGGGACCAGGTCCAAAAGATCTCAGAGAACAGAGGTCACTGGAGGCGTGCTACTGAAGCCCTATGTTCCACTAGGAACCCAAGGGACTATAAAAAAAAAAAATCTGAACCGTCAGTTAACTCAGTGTTACAAAGCCATTTGTCCGATATCTGGCCTCCCGCAAGCCCACTTTTATCGGAACGGCGACTTCCAGCAGTGTGTTTGAGAGCTATATATGGTTTGTAATGCAACTGTTCAATCTTCGTGTGTGTGCACTTGACTACAAAGAAGCGCTAGTGAGGGCCCTGTTCCTAGAAACTGGCTCCAGTAAACAAAAACTGTGTTCCCACACTGCCCGGCAAAAACGTCAAGAGCTAAATCTTACGTGTTTCCAATTTGATGAGAATAAAATTGGAAGCTTAGTTGCACATGCGAGTGAAAATTCGAAGTCCGAATACGTGCATAAAACTATGTACTTCTGAATGTGAAAAAGTGAGACGACTAACAGTCGTCATTCCTCATCTAGAAGAACTTATAGCCAGTTTGTGATCCGCTGTACTTGTTGGATACCTTTGAGTTCGAGATCAAGGAAGAAAACGGTGTTTTAGCCAGTCAGGACTGGTGCATTTTTTGGCACGTGACAATAAGCCGTGGCGCGTCTACTATCTGACTGGGGGATCGTGAACAAGCAACACAGTGTAACATGACGACTTGCCAAAAGGTATGTACACTTTAATGTCAACCATAAGCCAGGTAAATTCCTTTAAACAAGGATGACCGGCATAGATACTGAATATCATTTTTCATCAGCGGAAAAAATGCGGTCAAAACCCCATACCCAAGATTTGATTCCAATACCTGAAAGCAGGGGTAAACAACCTTTGGTTCATTACTCTTGTGACATGAATGTATGATTAGACTTCAGTAAGATGGTTTGAACACCAGTACGACCCTGTCGACAGAAGACATTAGTGAATACTGTAGTTCACGCGCACACATTAAATTTTCGCGGGAAGGGTTTTGGTGATTTCTTGAAGCACTGTAAGTGTGCTGTGATGCACTTACTAAATTGAGAATCTAGACTCGCATGTGAGGTTTATGATACGAATCATTTGATTTTTAGTCCTAGATACCTCACTTTCTATGCATGTACCTATTCAGTATCCAGTCGGCAAACGGAATGCATTTATATTATTTATTCTAAGTGAATTTTTGAGTGTGTCCCTGACATTATCTACACTTCTCCAAATTCCAGCCTTCAGGATGGCATCGGACGCTTGCGCAATCCGCACTCCACCATTACGTATCCGCAAATGTTAATACTTGTCTTATGCACTGCTTTTAGGAATTTATATGCATTAAGTCGGAAACTTTGGGTACCATTCAGACAACTTGACAAATATGGGTAAACTGTAGACAGTAAGTTGGGTGGACTTTAAAATAATCAGGTAAAATGTTTGACATTTTATGGGAGAAATTTTCGACAATCTCGGGAAGGGGGATTCTATTTATTTTCTGCAGTGAACCAATAAGCTTTTGGTGATTTCACCAAAAAATTTCAAAGTGCGCCTAGTGTTTGCCGGCTGTGGTAGACATCTCTGTAAAAATCTATCTTATCCTTGAGCTTGTTCCCCGAAAGAAATTAATACCACTTACTGAGTAATCAGTTCCCAGCATTGATCAGTCAGTGCGAAAAATATCAAGTTTACGCTTAGTTGATTTGATCGTGGCTTTTGATGTAATAAGTCGTATCTGGAATGGAACGATAAGACACCATTGCCGAAAGCAGGATTTAGGATACAGAATCTCAGGATGACATCACCCGTTTTCCTTCGATAAGACAGCGCAAAGAAATCCAGTTGATCTAGTTGTTTTTCATAGGGTAGGTTGTAGAGGTCAGCCAAAGCTTAGTAGCCTATCATAGAACACTTAATATGTCAACACTTCTAAGCATGGACTGGTTGAATGAATGCAGTATACCAAATGGTGCCTCGCATATGTTGAACGAAGCATCATGAATATATTCTGACAAAAGCTCTCAAAAGTTCTTCCGATAGGGCATAACGACCGAAATCCTTTCACTGCAGTTGCATTGCAGTGCTTGAATGTTTTCAAATTGATAGTAATGACACCCTAGTTTATGTTCTAAGACCATCAACGGAATACTGAAAACAATTATTATGACTGGTATGCATTAATCCACTTTTGCTAGAGTTTATTTCCAGTTACATTTGCACCAATATATCAGTTCATTGAAGTCCACTTGGAGCGCTTATTTATCAATATCACTCCGTATGACTCTCCAGACTTATGCATCATCGGCTAATAGGACCACCAAAGAGCTGAGTATTTGCTGTAATTCGTTAACATTTAGCAAGAAAACGATAAGGCGTGAGACTATTCCTTAAGCAACTGCACCCATCACAAGTTTCCACTTAGGTTTTAGTAACCATCACTCTTTGCTTTTACCAAACAGAAAGTCTCTAATTCACATTTGTAAAGTACCACAACCTGAAAATGGTGGTCTTTCGTAATAATATTACATGAGATACTTCACCATAAGCCTTACTGATGTCTGTGAACAAGGCACCTATTAGCAGTTCACTGTCATCTGCTCACGCCGAGCGACCGCCCACCTCGACGTACCATGCTGTGGGGAATTAGATCAGGTTGGAGAAGTGTCTGGGGTGGCCAGACCAAGACCTGGCACGTGTCGATGAAGTCGCTTTCCGTCAATCTGGGCCGTGTGGGGCTATGTGAACTACCTCGTTGGGGTCTTCAAGATAAAAGGAATCTGTAGTTCAAATTGCTTATTTTGTCACACAACTTTTTCTACTTTAATATCAGTCATTTTCTATCTACCCATTCTTTGTGCACTTCTGTGGAATGTGGCAACTTGGGCTGATACACCTGTGTGGGAAGTTCTACGTTGATTTTGTTATTCAGTTTACTGTCACGAGCTGCAATCTATTTCTCTTGCATTGAAAAGGACTGTCAAACAGGATGTCATCTCTGAAAGCCATGATTCTATGATGCTAAAAGATCATTTGATTTAACGTGGTTAAGCATTTTTCCACAAATTTTTTTCACAAACCATAGTGACTAGCATTTTCACTCACATGGGGAATGTTGACTACTAACCATTACCGGCTTTGTAAACTGGGTTGATTATGACGAGTTTGGTATAAAGACACTGAAAAACACTAATTAGCTCAACAATGGTGCCCACTACCGAAGACAACAATTTAAGGGGTGAACCACTGACCTAAGTATTTTCAAGAATTAAGTTTACTGAGCAACCGAAAGACTATCTAATTTGTCAGATACACTCTACCTGTTGGCAGGGCAGCACTGGTGCTACTGCTGGGCGCATCATTATCCAGACCTAGCTATAAGACTTCACTAAAGTATCCCGGTAAGCGCCCACCTGTGGAAAGGTTAGGTTCTGCTAAGCCATCTGGTAAGTCACTTGTCACCAGAGAGGGAATTCCACACTTTCCCCTAATAAATAAGAACAATCTTTTAGGATAGTTTTGGCAATCGCTGAGCTACTTTTCGTATGATATTTGAGACTATCTAATTGAAGTTTTGCACAGATTTCGGACCTTATAGTTTTTTGATCGTTCTGAATCCCATTTCTAAAAACAAGTTCCACAAACGTTTCTTCCACCTAAGTAATTTTTGAGTACCACTATCAAACCACGAGTCAATGTAGAAGCTTTCTTAAGATCGACCGTGAGATAAATGGCATCGTTTAAAACCTACCCCAGGCCTTCGCGATAGATGAGTCCTTATCGGTAGTCCAGTTTTTACTGACTCCACAATTTATTATGCTCTGAATATCTGCGTACCAAACATAAGTTCCGGAAGAACAGTGTTGTAATCGAAATCGTACGTTTGGAAACTGAAAGTTAATGCAACATCATCGCTATTCGCCGTTGAGAGGAAGTAAAATACCCCCAAAACATCCTTCCATTAGTGTTTTAAAACTAAGTAATGACTGTCTATGTTCTAAATCGTGATGTGTTGTACCAGTTGATTTTTGAACTAAGATTCTAGTACCGTTATAAGTAGATTATTTTTAAAATAATTACCTGACACTAGAACTGTATGCTCCATCCAGTTTATCGTGAAGTGGTCGGGTCCTCGAAATCTCATACCAACGAACAGACAGTGGTGATCGTCTGTTACAGCTTTGTTCTGACAATCACTTATCTCTGGCTAGCACTAACTTCAAGTGAAGGGAGAGACACTGTCTCACACGGCATCCGCTGACACCAAACCAGCGATAGACAAATAGATCATATTGCTGTAGGTCTTCGTTGGAGAGGATCGGGGGAGAAGGGTTACCGCTCTTTCTGGAGTACCTGTTCGAACTCTAACCACACGATGGTACATGCAAGTGTCTGAGCCTCACTGGCCGCAGGAAACAGACGACAGTAAACCTCGTCTACTCTCAATTGAAAGATGACAACGTGATGGACGTATATAAATAGAAGGTAGCGAAGCGTTTATCTGAATGTGACAATGCTCATCCTGAGAAAACCTAGCGTAGTTTTAAGTCTTGTAAAAACGGCAGTAAAGACAGTTGGTAACCTACATCTTACGGCTGGGAAACGTCAGTGAATTTCCACAACTTCATGCGAACTGACTAGTGCCAGGGGGCTGATTTCAGCTGACTTCAACCACGATAAAGAGCTAAGACAACAAGAAGTAAACGACGGTTAGTGAAACCGTCACTGAAAAGGATAGGTGGCTGGAACGTTGGGCGGAACACTGAAGCACAGTTCAGCTGGTCAACAGTAATGCTTCAGTTGCCCAACATTCGACCTGAACCTGAATGAGAAGTAGGTGTCGGTCTTCCAACTCTCCTTGAAGTTGAGAAGGCTGTGTCGAACCCATAACGATGCAAAGCAGCTGGACCTGACAGTTTGCCATCCAAAGTTTTCAAGAATTGAGGTCGGAATTCGCTAATTAAAGTGATGGAAGTACTAGATAGTGTATGGGAATCAGAAGTAGGGCCATCAAACTGATGTACTTCTTTGGTCATTCCAGTCCATAAGAAGAGGGAGAAATCTTGCGAAAACCACAGGGGAACTAGTTTGATCCAAGATCCTAGGATCCATAGTTATCCGACGTCTAATTAGAGCTCGAAAAAACCATGCAAATTTCAGACACTTGGACGAGGGTGCATCGATCGGATCTTCACCCTTTGACACGTTCTGGAACACAGGCGTACTTACCTTCGGCCGACACTTGCCATATTTGTTGACCAAAGATGCCTGCTGTCACCGTCCTTATTTAACTCCGTCATCTAGATACTAGTGGACATAACGTTGGGTATATCTGGCTTCCCAGGAATTGATTGGTCTACTCCCCGGAGGGCATAGGGTACTCAGACTATGCTGTCCTGGTAGGTGAAGATGCTTACAAAATGCAGGGTCTTTTGAACCTCTTCAGCAGAAATCTCTATGTTTGACATGCCTTCACACCCGTCAAGTTTAAGATGATACTCCAGGACTGCTGTGCAACCACTCCTAGCTTAACAATGAGTAAAGTGGCGAAATGTGTCTACCACTGCACTTACTTGGGGAGTTGCACCAGCCTGAACGTGCCGCTTGCTAACGTAATCTTAGCTCAGATACAGACGACCAGTTTGACATTTACCAACTTGCGTAATCTGTGGTGGCGACCGGCGAGATATCCGACTATCTACCAAAAGACGAGTATACTACACTATAGTCCCTGTTATGCGCCTGTGAGACATGGCCGCTGAAAGTAGAAGACATAAAACGACTACACAGTTTTGATCACAGATGTCTTCGTAGCATTGCTTGCATTTGGTGAGATGACCGTGTTAGAGATGCTAAAGTCAGGCGAAGGCCACTAGTCAAGGAAGGCAAGTCAGTCAGTGAGGTTGTGAACCGTCATCAAGTGTGATGGTTTTGATTTGTAATACGCATGCCGAGTCACTCCCTACCTCGACGTCGCATGCTAGGAGAAGCTTGTTTAGGTTGGAAGAGAGTTCAAGATGACCAGACCAAGATGTGGCACCATTCAATGAAGTCCCTAGCTGTTAGTGTTAGCCGTATAGGTAGACTACTTGACTGGGGTCCATGAGATGAAAGGAATCAGTGGCTGGGGATTCTTGGTGGCATGACTACAAATCAGTCACAATGGTGCAGATGCATTCACTCTTTCGTGTCTTCTAGACCTTGAGTATTTGCACTAATCTTTATCTCCAAATTATTTGTTCTCTCAAAAAACTAATTCTACTCTGATAGCACTTTTTCTATCCACATGTTCGTTGTATACTGCTGTGAAGTGTGGCAACTTGAACCGATGTACTAGTATCCAAGGTTCCACTTTGATTTCGTCTCTGTCAGGTTCTCAAGTTTCCGAGATATTTTTTTATACTACAGTTATGTATATGATTCAGTAAAAGATTATTTGCAGGGCAGGATGGGTTACACTGAATTCCTTTGATAGGACGGATACCTTACTTTGACGTTTACTCACAACTGACCACTTCACATGTACTGCATTCATGTGCTTCAGGAGTGACTGATCGTGTATGCAGGTCATCATAAACATAAAGTCGTATACCACCACTTGCGACTCAACCCCATACATCCTAATACCGGAATATCCCGAGAGAAATGGAGTAAAACCTAAATCTCTTATGGACGAGATTTCTGTAACAGCCATTGCATCAGAACCTGGTTCGTAGAGTAAAGTCTCCAGCTCTATCATTTTATTTCTGTTGCTGCCGATATTGATGTAAAACAAGTGTAAAGTGCCTGAAGTGTCACCTGACTTACTCATACAGGTCTTGGAAATATTCGTTTCCAAACCCCACAACCCGTAAACCGACATTTCTAAGATCAACTCCCTTCTGTTGTCAAGCTTCTATTTCGGCGAAGGCTTCTCTTTTTATGTGATTCTCGAGAGGTCAGTCTGGCTGAAAGTTGATGTCCGAATCACGTAGTTTTAATTTGCCCTTTTTTATCTTGAAAAACCTTCAAGATTCGCTACTCGTCACTTCTCTCCTCTTTTTTCTAGTGTGCCTGCCTAAAGTTGAAGAAATCGGAAGCAAAGAACTAATTATCGATATGGCTTATTAATGGGGTTTCCACCTTAGTGGTGAACCGTAACTCTAACTTCCTAAGCCCCTAGTGTTTAATTTTAAGTGAAAATGATAGACATGAGACATAAAAACACGTGAGACTGCAGACTTTCAACGAATTTGATAATTGTAACTGCCCGGTCATTAAATCAGTTCTCAATTTTTCGCCATGGTATATTTAACCCAGCTAAAATGGCATCATTTGAAGTATAAAAGTAACTTTAAAACAGTTAGTCCCTTTTAATAACTTTGACAAGACAATATAAAGATGTAAATTGCCTAAACCGTGTAATGTATTCGCATATCACATTTCGAACCATCTAATCACACACGTACTTGTCATAGGTATTTATATGAAAATTCAGGTATAAAGGGTAAGCATATGAAGAAAGGTCAAGAAGGAAGGGTGAATTAATGGCCGAATAACAATCAAAATTAATAGAGCGAAAGTAATAGTACATCGAACTCGGTTTCAGAGTTGAATTCACTAAGGGAGATTTAATGTAATAGCAAAATGTTTTTAAATACACAAAGGTGGTTTACACGTCCCAATAACTAAAGCCCCAACAAATTTAAGAATCCGTCCCGAAATATGTCTAAAGAAAGTAGCAACGTCAATCTTGTGACCTGTCTTAACAATGTGTCGCGATCGAAGAACTTGAACATCTACCAACGTTTATGGGTCCATATGATTCAATTTACTTCTGTAGCTACTTTGAAATATGCCCCGTGACCCTTACTTGCGTGGATCTAGGAGTCCTCCCCATGTGTGTCACCACACTTTTGAATTGGTAAATGCAATGGGATGTGACACTGTCGTTTACATGCTGTAAGCGTTTGGCAGAATATACAGGCTTGGTGATTTCTATCAATCGAACCCTAGCTAAATATTAAATCCTGACAGCAACCTTAAGCCCCTGCTTAAGGATTACACTGTGAGAATTACCTTTGTATGGAAGACTGATGACGTCTTTCCTTGGGACAAAGTGAAGAGCTGGTTTGGGCTCTGGTTATTTTGTGCTGCTTAATAAATCTTGATGCATATTTATTTTCCAACAGTATTTAATCAATGTTCTCTCATCTCCTAAGGTATAATCTGTGCATTTTCCTTGAATCCTACTGAATAAACACCTAGCCCTCGCATGTACTGAACTGGACAAAAGCTGTTATGGTTCAAATATTGCCCTTTCCACGTAGGTTTTCTGTAGACATCGTTTTATGGATCCATCCTGCCGTCGACTGATTAATATGTCCAAGAAAGGTAAGCAGTCATCTACACATGTCAAGGATACGCTACTCTGTACTTCATTCAGTCGGTTTAGAATTGAAGGGGACTTACGATTTATCACACATACTTGACCTCTTTTCATATTCTTAACACTGATCTCTATAAATTTCCGTATAAATACCTATGGCAAATACGTGTGACCGGATAGTTCGAAATGTGTTGCAGCAATAGATTACACGGTTCAGACAATTTGCGTCTTCTTTGGTTAGCCAAAAGTCAGCAAATAGCCCACTTGTTCCCAAATGATCATTTCAAGGGAGGTACGATATTTTTAATTCTACCAACTTTCAGGTTGAATTCCACATGAACAAATCTATGACTAGCCTCTTAGAGATATGGATCAGAATCGCTGCCAGTGATGCAGATGTACGCAAGCCTTTTCCTCATAACCGTTGTATCACATTTCGTCGTTTGATTTAACTCCTTTTCCTTTCACATGATAGTTTTCTAAAACCTTTGATTATATTACCTGCGTTTAAATAACTTTTATTTTGTATCGTGATGTGTATGTATGCGATGTGGCAATTTGGACCATTGGTGGCTAATACCACATCTCATTTCAGTATTGACTAGTATCCAAGTAATTTTATGAGTGTATAGACTTGTTTGCATATAGTGGATTCCGACCTGGTGAACTCAGTGTATGAGGGAAGCTTTTACAACAACTTGCTCAGGGTTCCAGGAGCACTTTAAGACTTCTGGGAAACTTAGGTGTACTTGAGTCTTTGGGAATTCATAGAGGTATTCGCAGAAGATGCTAAGTAAAGCTAACATTTTTCTACCCAAAAGTTGCTAGTTGTGCCTGTATTTTCTGCATGTCTTCATGGACCTCTAGTTAGACTGAAGTGATAAAGTTTCTAGTTGACTCTGAGTGGTTTCGAGGAAACGTCAACTGGGTCAATCTTTCTGTAGTCTCGTAGTAAAAATGAGTTTCGATAGGAGGTGGATGGTATAATGCATGTATTCTAGTGAAAGCGGCCATGCATAAACCGATCTTTAATGTAAATTGATAACTTCTCGTTCCAATGATTCTTCGGATGATCGCACTTCTGTCACACGATTTCCCAGGAAAACCTACAAAGTTGACATTCGTAGCAGCCACACTTGACTTGCTTGCGCCTGTTAAGTGGGTACTACATTTCTTTGTTAGCTGTCATAACTCGCCTTTGCAGTCCTCACTCCAGAGCATTAGAAACTCAGTGCCACATTTATGTTAGCTTCCATCTCTCACCATTCAGCTTATATGTATATTCATCCCCTGTTACATCCACTTACCCACCGTCTTATTTACGCGGAGGTAGTATTATGGATGGTATATATTTTTGTATTTGCTTATCGTATTGGTCTACTTCAAATATTTAGTATGTTATGTATTAAATGTGCTTGTCGCAAACATATTTTCTCACCCTCACCGACATTCTTGTATCAATTCTCTATGATAACAGTGTTACTTCACTAGGTGTAATTAAAAATGATCATATACAATCTACTGTCTCCTTTTGTGTTTGATTTACATTTTCGAATCCGAGTTCATCGTTATACTTTCATGTGACTTCAGCTTATTGTAGTGTTTTTTTTTGCAGGTATAAAATATGTGCTCAAGAGTTTCCTAACGTTAATATCTCAAACACGATTTCTACACGTCTCTTGACGTTTAACAACAAAAGCAGTATTTAGACGTTAAGGTGGATTATAGATCGCTTTGGTTTTCACAAACATTCAGAGAAGACGGATGCTAGTTCATGACTTGAGTCTGTGGAGCAGACGGCTATACAGATTAGTCGAAAGTGTTGTCATGTGGTTATTTCGTACAGAAATATGCCTGTTCTTGTCAGTTTCTGGTATCCTCTCAGCATTTTGTGTACTTGAATCTCTTCTACACCCGGAGGAAGGCTCAGAAACATTGGAAGTAGTAACATTGACCAATGACACTAGCTCAGATTCGGAAATTGACGACGGTCTTCCTGTATCATCGATCGAAAATATATCCACATTCGTATCACTTGTACTTGGACTTTTTGCAGTTCTCTTGGTACTTTGGAAAGTCTCTGTAGTTGCTTTTTTTGGTAGTTTGACTCACGCTGAAAGGATATCGACCTCTAAATCACTTTTCCGCTTTGTCCTTTTTCATTTCATTATATTGTCTGGTGCTATTAACCCTTCCAGGTTAACGAGTCTGCTTGGATGGCTTTGTTGGTTTAGTGTTCTGGGAGTATTGCACATGTTAACATCAGTAGCCTCTTCTCGCTGTAATCAAATATCAGCTTCAGGTTCTGTGAATGTTCATCAGTGGATGAGGATATGTAGCATGTTTTTAGTTGTTTCCATCTCAAATTGGTATTTACTTAAGGCTGGCCTAGAAAACTGTTTCCTGTTGGCTGACATAGATGTTTCAACTAGTGGAGACTTTATAGATGTCCACTCACGAAATTCATTTTTAGCTGGGCTAAAAACACCAACTGTATTGGGCGCCCTTAAAGCTAAAATAACAGGAAAGAAAGAACTTTTATATGATGCTGTTGACGTGGTTGCTCTGTTGATTTCCGAATTCGCTCTTTTAATGTGTACAATATGCCATCTTGTTTGTGGATTACTTATACAAGCCTACGATCGCTGGTGTTTGCGGAAGGGACAAAGCTGGAAGTATCACTCAACAGTCGCTTATTATTATGAACTCATTTTTACGTGTTTGTATCGCCTAACGGAGATCACGCATTACCTACATCTTCTGTTATGGAGCAGGGTATTTTCCATCGCAAGTCTTGTTGTTTTCCTGCATATACGTGTGTCCTATTCTAACTTAGCAAATAGTATATCTCGTCACCTGGCACAGAGACGCCTCATGAGATATATCAATGAAAATTACCAATCTTGTGGAACAGGCAAATGTGTAAGTACCTATTCCTTTATCTACATTTTACTTTTCCGGATTATTATTATTTGTTATACGGCAGTTAAAAGTGAATTCTTTTGAGATTCACCATAGTACTTAGACATGCTACTACTTGTCTTGATGAAAGCTAATCTTAGTCATCGACGTGTGTAATTATTCTGTATCCATTTTACGTTATCCTTAGTTCGACTCTTAAAGTTTAACCTAAAAATTATATTCATCGTTCGGTTGAACTACTGTTAATATCCATTTGGCTTCAGCATGGTTTTCGCAAACATTCAGAGAAGATGGATGCTAATTCATGACGTGAGTCTATGGAGCAGACGGCTATACAGACTAGTCGAAAGTGTTGTCATGTGGTTATTGGTACTGAAATATGCCTGTTCTTGTCAATTTTGTGTACTTGAATCCATCTTCAAAAAATTCTTTTTCTCTAAAAATAAAACCAAGAAGAAGGATGCTTACAGCATCTGTAATGTAATTTAACTCAACAACTACGTGTTGGTTATTTCACTAAGTAGTTGGTTAAACCTATTGCGTAAGGTATCGTGATACCACTGCCTGCCCAAACCTCGATAGTTTGGTATGAGTTCGTACCAGTGACCCATCGATTAAAAGTCAAATACCTAGACCGATGAGCCCCATCTCACAGTATTTGACGATTGGTGTCATAAAGTAATTAGGTTAGCAAAGTAGAATCTTGTACAAGTGTTTATCAGGTTTACTCCAAAACATAAATTGGAAGTCAGTATTAATGAAGACATTGAAGTAAATGAGGATAAGCCAGAGGGAACGAATCCATAAGAATGAGTAAGATGTTCAAAGTTTGGACGATAGAAAGCTTTCCGCTCATAATCGATTGTCATGGACTTAATCCACACTTTCCATCCATTGTTTCATGATATCACATAGGCTTCAGTTTAATAACCTGCACATACCTCTACGCTTATAACTTCATGGATTGTCGATATATTTCTGACTAACCACTCCCAGTTCTCTTTCAACGTGGTTTTCCTGTAGTAGCAGTTAATTAGTCATCATTGACATAATGCTTAGCATTACTGCTTAACTGTCCGAGTGACTACACCTCATTATCACCATATCAAGGTAGGAGGCAGCAAGATGAAACATGAAAGAATACATAAGAAAGTTATCAAAAGTGGTTGAAAGTCGAAACATGACAGGAAAGAGTTACAAAATAATTAAACTCAACATGTCTGTTGAGATAAAAACAGCATGTAGATGCATCTGCGTCGCTGACATCGTTTCTGAGCTATATAACCTAGAGCCTCTAACCCCTTAATTCGGCTATCACTTGGTTTCCAACCGAGAAGCCTAAATTTCCATGCACTGTTTGAACCTAGAGTCAAAGACTTCTTGAAATAATGCCATGTTTTAGTCCCCATGACTCTCAGCTTTTTCCAGCCTGAACTTCAGCTGTGCTCACAGCGACGGGATGCGTAACTGTCTGATTCGATGACCATTCACAACCTCGTCAACTGATTTATTCTACTCCTGACTTTGGTGTTATTGATGTTTCAACACCACGACACTGCCTATGCTAAGAAGACAGTGGTGATCGAACATCCGAAGCCTTGTCATATAATCCTTTAATGGCCATTTTTCACAGCCATATAGACAAACAAAGCGAACTGCGGCGCAGTACACAGCCCTTAGTAGACCATCGAGTATCACGAAGGCGCCATAAATGGTATTTTTTGAAAGCCAAGCTAGCCTTTTTTTTATCCATGCAGACATTTCGTTGGTTACTGACCCACCATGGCTGATCCGACTTTCTAAGTAAGTGACTTGGTCAACACACTCGATTACTTCACTCCACGTTGTTAGAAGCTGCTCCAAAGCAAATCAGTCCTGAAGTAATAATTAACACTTGGGTGGTGAGAAACGCATCTCGAGCATTCTCACTTTACCACTCAAGGTTTCCACAGGACTGCATCTTGTCAGCACCTTCACCCAACGGGACTATATCGTCTACATACTCCACGTAAATTTAATTCAGGAGTTTCTATTGGCAAAGTCAATTCCTGTAAAATCAAATGACGAGAAGATGAACTCCATAAACCTATTTAAGACAAAGTTAAATAAGAGTAGGGAGAGTAGACATCTTTCATCGGACACCACGTGATGTACATAATTTGCTTGACATTTAAAAAAGGTTATAACACATACAAATGTTCGAATAAAGAACATTTAATAGTGTGATAGAATTACCCAATACTCCTTTCAATGACCTACAGTGCATGAGACCTCTCGACAGATGTAGTCGACTGCCACCTCCAGACCAAAATAGAAAACTACTGTCTAGCGACCGTGAGTGCGCCTGTGTTCCAAGATCCAGCGCATAACGAATGTCTCGACGACATACTCACGACCAAGTATGAAATCTAGCTTGTATTTCTTAGGTTTGCTGTTTCCGAGCTTCACTCAGATATCTGATGATTATAGAATGTAAGGCCTTAAAAATGTCTGCCAAACTGATTCTTCTGCCGATATCACAGGAGGATCCAAGTCTCCTTGAAGACTGGAACAACCAGCGATTAATATCAGTCTGAGGACGTCATATTTGATTCTCAAACACTAACTGACACTTTATTTAATCAAGCTTATTGCTCTCGATCACCGTCCTTGAATACCTCTGGTAATAGTCCATCGGAGTTTACTGTCCTTCTTCCTTCCAGGTTACTTACAACCTTCTCAGCTTTAGCAAGAGGTGAAGGTCCTATCTCGGGGTTCCATTCACGGTCCGACTGGACGATGGGCAGAAGACTAGGAACGGGTCAGTTAAACTGTTTTTTGATGTATCCTGTCCATCGGTCCAACCGCTTCCTCTACGAATCAATTGTAGACTTATCCATCTTTTTTACAGTCTCACTAATCACTGATCGTTTTCATCCAGTTTCTTTGATTAGTCTAAATAACTGTCTACTGTCGCCTATCACAACTGCGTCTTACATCTCTAGTCTTCTCTGCTCTCCTCTGTTTACAGTCGTTGCGTTGACTCATTGTCAGTCTATATTTGAGTTGCTTCCACTCCACATTGTGCTCAAAGTCTACAGGAATGCGTTCACACACATCGGTTATCTCAGAACAGGCTGCTAATGTTCACTGACTCTAACCTTTTCCTGGGGTCGGCTATGGTCTTCAATACTGTTTCTGCAGCAGATTAAATATGCTGCTGTGCGTCTTCCGTGTCCATGATGCTGTCCTGTCACGAAAACTGACTAGCCAGTTTCTCACTAGTATCACCATCATAATGTTGTACCTGGGATGGTCTTGTTTCTGTAGTTTTCTCACGTCCATTTAGGCATAGACACGCGGGATTGAACTAAAGCGTGATCCCTGCGCAAACACGTAATCTGGAAAGAGTGGTAATTCGCCCACCAACAACCTTCAGTGATAACCGTCTGCGTCTTCCGTGCAGCTGAAGTCGCTGGATGTTACGGCAGACGGTTGAATTCTCTATCTGAACTCCATGCGCCGTAGCCGGTGATGACAGTCCGAATGTATCTAGCTATTTATCGCAGTCTCGCTGATATTGCAACCCCATCATATCGGATTTATTTGTCATTTCCACTACAGGAAACCAATCTGAACACTAAATGGCATGACCAATTTTTTCTCAAATGATGTTTGCGACAAATCTAGGTAGTACGACCAGGGCAGAAATCCTTGACAAATATTAGGTCACTTATTTACAACACAGGGATATTTCTACCATCTTCCATAGATGACTTTACCTTGGAATTCGTCACTTCTTTCAACACGGATACTCCAGTGCAACTCAACTCATGATTCAGTAAAGATAATCCTGTGGCTTATGCTATCACCTCATCTCACCACTAGAAATTAACCAGTGCACATTCCAATGTGTTCACAAACCTTTTAGCTAATCTGTTAGATTGTATTTGAGATGGAATGAGGCTACGTTACAGACAATAATATGAGTTCAGTGAACTGAACTAGTGATTCCAATTGACAGTCATTGTCAAACACCATCGTTTTACAATACTGCTGAAATTCATTTACTCGGTGGATGATTTCTAATAGCCCATGAGTCACACTTAATGAGTGGGCTCATCATACTACTCGGTTGTCTGGGTTGAGCGAGTTCCCAACGCGCGACCCATTATTTAAAAACCAAGTGCCTACACCAACCAATCAAATCTCTAATACTACTGATGATGACTCAAAGCCTACTTTATCTCTCTTCTACACTCCTTGTCATCGATCGTTGGAAGGTAGATGGTTATTTCTTGGGCTAGGGTCTCAATTTCCACTTGTATGATAGGTAACTGATGCTTCCACTGGTTTTCATTTCCTACATCGTGAACATCAACCAACCGTAAACGCGTATTAGCTTAGGGAATGTTCTCCATTGAGTCGTATTCTCGGGTCAAACCCTATTTCACTGTAATCGGTTTGGACTGTAGACTGGACAGACTTTACTTCTATCCTAAAAGAGGTAAGTGTGTGTTGCGTGCTAAGTTTCAAATATCAACTTTATGGCATTTTGTAAGATCTATCCACTGCAACAGCTAGGCGTTTCGATCAACTCATCGTTACTTTCTTGCCCATGTCGTAGATTATGAGAAACATCACCTTTTACCATCAAATTATACGAGGATGACTATTCTGACTGACTCAATTTAGTGGCTGTGAGGATGTTTAGAACTCGAGGTCGAATAGCACTAATGACAGTGTAGATGAGAACAGGAGTTTCATTTCCTGGGATCCACTTTGACAGTCACTTATCCCCTCCCATCTAGACAATGAAAGAGTCTATGTAGGCTGTATGTGGGTAGGGCTGATTCTCCAGGAAAGACTGAAATGAATTACAAACCCAATGTCGTACTTTCCTTTCTGGTATCTCAAATGGTAAACCGGATTTCATAGTGGGGTGGGTGTTATCTGGATCAGGTGAAGGACTATCTCCTTCGGTAATAATACCGTTTCTGGTCTCAGTCAGAGTTCGTTGTTAAACATCTGTTATAAAATGCAATCTGACCAGTGGATATGATCCAGCATTCAACCAAGCATCACTGTCTTCTCAGGCAGCCTTCGACCTCATCAGTTTGTCGGTGAACATATTATGCACTTATTTCTTTGAATATTGACTAGTTAGTTGTGTTGGAAAAATGCATGATGTGCAGTACCAATCAGATAGACATGATTTTATCCATTTTCCTGAAATAGGTACCATCGTTCATCTTAGCAAGAGTATCATCTGGAGGTGGAAGTGAGTGTTGATGGTAATCCAGTGAATCATCCTACATGTATCAGCAATCTACTCAGCTACGATTAGTTCCACTAGGCTCCTTCGCAACAGAAATATGTGCAGCTCAAAAACTAGTTTCACGAACTTGATACATTTCAAACATTCCAACTATATCAACGGCTGATAAGGTTGCATATCCGACTAGTTTCTCAGGTGCCGATTTCCGGGTGGAGTGGTGATCTTGGATCTAAAAACTATCTGAAAACTCCTATGGAAGTAGCAGCATACTTTCTTCAAATGGTGTATGATCTATTGAGGTTTGAGCGGCCCTGTAGTACCATCTTGCTCATTTCGTTAGCTCACAGCTGAGCACTATTTTGTATTATTTTATTACTTGTTTCAATCCGACATCTGCAGAATATCTTTTGTGTTCTAATAAGCTCAGTGCCTTAAATCATGAATATCATACTGCTATACTAATAGGTGTTTTCAGCTTCCGATAACCAATGACAAGCAGTCGTTCTGTAAGTTCTCCCCCCTTGATATTTCGTGTTTTCTCTTCATTCCTCTTCTTAGAAATGCAGTTGATTTATAGTTTCGGTTTTATTTCTTATTTAGGTATCTAAAGATACCGACTCACATTTAGAATCAGATAGCAAACGTTCACAGGTTTTATCATTAGATTCTGGAAATGATGCTTCACTTGTATGTGCAATATGTTGGGATATTATGACATCATGGAGACGATTGCCATGCCGTCACGACTTCCATGAACATTGCCTTCGTGCTTGGCTCGAACAGAACCCAAGCTGTCCAACATGCAGATGTGACTTAGGCATACCTCCTGTTCTTCTTTACAATCATAACAGAACACAACGAACGGAAAATGCTGCACTTGGTATGCTTGTTAGAAATTTGTTTAATAACATTGGAAATGACGGTGCAGTTGATCAAAATCGTAATGGAGCCAACAATGTTCAGCCATTAGTAGCGCCTCATACAGCGATTCAGCCTAACCAGTTATCCGGTATCTCCAGGATGTTTGCTACAGCTATAGGACTAAATCTTGGACTAAGCATTGGTGCTGCTCCAGTGGTTGCTGGAGCAGCTCAAGCAGCCGCCCTAAATGCACTGCCTCGTGATTCAAGCACCTCTCTTTCCGGTAATCCAAATTCCCAAGTAGATGAGGCTTCGAATTCTCCCGCACAAAGTATCGATAGTTTGTCTATCCACGAAGGAAATCGTGAGAATAATCAAGAGGTAAGTGGTCCTAATTATTTTTCAGTAGAATCGATTTTGAATAATCAGGTTCCTAAAAACATTTGAAACTATTTTTAGCGATATCGGTAAAACGAAACCTACACTTTGTTTGTCTTGTGTTTATCTGGAGACTGTGACTGGCTCAGTGGTTTGAGGGAGATCACCTTCAATCTATAGGTCATGCATTTGAACACCGCTCCACCTACCGAGGTTTGACCAGTCAGTTAGTAGTATCATTAGTGGTCACACAAAAGGTGTGGCCTACTGCCTACTACACGAACGTGCAAAAGGTTGCTGAATGGATTCCGATTTGATTTTTTAGATGTATATAAATTACAGAAGGGTAGGTTTAAAATATATTGTAGTCAGTTGAAAAGTAGTTTCCACCGTTTTCTCCTCCAAGTCGTTTAGTTAGTAAAACATTATTTTCATTACCTCACTCAAGTATTTCATAAACGGTGCCTTTACGCACTGTGGGGAGGCTTTTTAGCGGCATTAAACCTTCATGGAAGATTTATTCCAAGCTTACTAATATAATAACCAATTCGAGAAAGCAGGTCCGTCCAGAAACTTTGTATTTTGTCGTATTTTCATCGGCTAGGCGGTTTCACCTACGATTTCGCATAGCATTGAAAGAACTTTTGGCTTTAAATAAAGTCCGTAGTTGTTTTTGCTTCAGTAATTCTGATACTGTACTTCAAATACTCGTTGAACGCCTTCATTGCAGTGGGATGGTTACAAAACTTCAGCGATTTCAAAATATTCATTAAACACTCAGAATTTTGAGCGAACAGTCGTATCAAGTTATAAGGTTATAAACTGATGAATAGTGTTTTATATCAACCACTGTAAGGCATCCAAAAATGTTTCAAAGTTGAAAAAGTAAGTAAAGAGAAAGCAAACCATATATATATTAAAGCCAGAAAAATCAACTTGGCATTAGTTGTGGTTTAAATCTGATAGAATGGGTAAACAGTGATGATATATAAACATGTAATGATATGTTAACAATTGAGGCATGTGTTCATTCTATATTAGGAAAAGATGCTGTTATGGAGTAGTCAAACGCAATAGTTGGGGTGAAAATCGTGTGAATCCAACAACAAAATGGGTGTTGTGTATAGCTTAAAAGGGACTATCGCCAGGCATTCTAGTTCATTTCCACCGATGCGCAAAGCACAATAAACGATAAAATGATTATTTCAGCTTCTAAATCTACAACTGTCTAGTCTAATCTTCGCTTCCCTATAACATAAAAACAATTTTTGCAGTGAGATAAATATACTGGTCGAAGGGACCTAAAGTAAACGTTGGAAACTATTTTTCTGATGTATTGGACAGAGGAAGACAGCATCAGCTTATATTGCTGGCTACCTGCGGGAAACACCTTTCACAATCCGTATGGCTAGGAATACGCCTTCTTCGAAACTCTACCATTGTGTAAATTGGTTACACAATGAAGCTGTTTTGGTCTTGATACTATCTAACATTTCCAGGTGCAGTAACACCTTATGCAAAACCATACTAATCAGTATAACTCGTTTAGTCAATGTGATATGGAAACCTGACCACCAAATCAAGGTAGAAGTTGTCATTCGGGATATATAGAGTTATGGGAAATTTTCATTCGCAAAGCAATGTAAAGCATTTCACATCTTTTTTCTTACCCGACCGATAGCTGCTACCTTGACGTGGTGGCCGGGCTTGCATATCACAATGACCGGACGAGCTATGCTGGTAGAACACTTATTCCCTCGTGGTCCTACCATACCAGAAACGTCTGTTGGGTAGTGACTAGACGAAAACCAGTTACCGTTGCGGTGTAAATTACTGCACTATGATGAGGGTCTGAGGGCGAAGTCGTACTGCTGCTAGCTGGATGGGGTGTGACCAGCAGTAAGGTGTTTCCATTGGATGACCAGCAGTGCAGTCCTGATGCTGCCTTCTCAGTGGAACGGGGGGGGGGGGTTAAAAAAGGTTGGCCCCAAAAATAACACTCCACCATACCCCACGGTCTGCCGGGCCGGCGGACTCAAGTTTCCTCAGACTGCTATCCACCTCCCTCATCATTACCTTCTAATCTTCCTTCACGTCTCTCAACTGAAGATACTACACCATCTTCATTTTCTCCTAGCTCTGCAGCCTTCGACAACGATCTGAGTCCACTAAACAGTATCCTTGGTCTCCTTAAACCACGCTCCAAATTACATATTGGAGCCTTCAATGTCCACACCCTCCGTCAAATTGGCCAGCAGGCTTCGTTGGCAAAGACTAGCAAGTCGGGCCATAGATGTGTGCTGTGTTTGTGAGACACGCATGCAGGACCCAAGTGTGGTTATTCATCTGACCTCTCCCGACCAATCTGGTGAGTCCGCAAAATTCACCCTTCGAGTTTCTGGAGATTCGATGGCTAGCCCTCGTGGTCTTGCAGGTGTAGGAATAGCATTAAGCACCAGGGCAGAAAACTCACTACTAGACTGGATCCCAGTTGATAGTCGCCTCTGCGCTATGAGGCTGAACGGCACAGTGAGAACTAAAAGGAATAGTGAGACTCGCCGTTGTCTCTTTGTAATCTCTGCTTACGCACCCACTGACTGCAGCTCGGATGAAGTGAAGGACGAGTTCTACCATAAACTGTCTAGCCCCCTTTCGAAAGCCAAGGGTTCGGACGTGGGGGTTGTTGCAGTTGATTTCAATGCACAGGTGGGTAGGCTGAGTGAGGCAGAAAGGCACTTAGTTGGTACTTTCGGAGTACCAGCTGAGCGAACAGGTAACGGTGATCGCCTACTACAACTGTGCTGAGATAACCATTTACTTTTAGTAAGCACAAATTTCAGACATAAAGAAAGACACTGTCTGACGTGGCATCCACTGAGCTTAACTCAGCGATGAACGCAGATTGACCACATTGCTATTAGTCATCGCTGGAGGGGATCGGTGGAAGACTGCCGCTCCTTCTGGAGTATGTGTTTGGATAGCGACCACGCGTTGGTCCGAGCACGTATATGCCTGCGTCTCAATGGATGTCAGAAAAATCTGGCAACAAACCCACTACGAGTGCTGCTGGACAACGAAAACACCAAAGCCGTGTTCAGTGAGAAGTTAGCTAGGCAATTATCGGAACAAAAGACTATCACTTATCCAGAAGAAGCTTGGTGCCATCTTCAGTCTGCTGTAAAAGCAGCGCTGAAGAGCGTAGCCGACTCCAAAATAGTGGCTAAAAAGAGCCAGTGGATATCAGCAGCTTCTTCCGAACTAATGGATGCAGGTGAACACATCCTTGCAGGCTCTGAGTACAATGAAGAGCGAGAGCAACTTAAAAGTAGACTGATGAAAAGTCTGCGCAACGATCGTGAACAGTGGTGGGCAGCGAAGGCTAAAGAGATGGAAAAGGCAGCGGCGATTGGTAACAGTAGACAGTTATTTAGACCTATTAAGGAGACGGGGGAAAAAGTCAACAACAGTTAGTGAGACCATAGTGGAGAAGGACGGATCTACGATTCACTCGCATAGGAGATAACTGGGACGATGAGCAGATCACTTCGAAAAACAGTTTAACTGGCCTCCAGCCACCATTTCGTTGCCTGCTATCCAGTCGAACCCTGAATGCAACATTAATATAGGCCCCCAACACTAGCAGAAGTCAAGAAAGCAGTAGGTAACTTGAAAGCAAAGAGGGCGGCAAGACCAGACAGACTAACTCCAGAGGCATACAAGGATGGTGGTAAGGTGCTCTTAGTCATGTTAACGAAAGTGTTAATCAGTACATGGGAATCAAATACGATCCCCTATGGCTGGTTTGAATCACTGATTGTTCCAGTCTTCAAGAAAGGCGATAACCATTGGGGAATCCGCCTAACGAACATAGTGTCTAAGATTCTAGGTTTCATAATTCTTTGATGCCTGAGTGGAGCTCCGAAACAGTGAACCCGGCCGCGGGTGTATCAACCAAATATTCACACTCCGCCAGGCTCTTGGACACAAGCACGCTTACCGACGCCCGACACTAGCTGTATTTTTCGACCTGAAGGCGGCATTCGACTCCATAGATCGAAAAGTCTTATGGCAATATCTCTCACTGAAAGGCCTGCCGAGTAAGAGCATCACCTTATTGAAGGGTCTCTACTTAAACATTTGTAGGCGTGTTGGAGCCTACGGTGAGATGTCGGGGGAGCTGTACTCTTCTAGTGGTGTCCGTCAAGGGTGCTCACTCTCTCCATTCTTATTCAATTTCATCATCGGTATTCTCATGGCTGTCTCCCTCTCGTCACCCAACTACACACAGGTTGACCTACTTGTAGGAGAATTTTCGTTAGACCTAGAATACGTAGATGATATCGTCCTGTTAAGTGAAGATATTGATAAGATTCAGAGCCTTCTGAACACTTTGAGTGGGAATTTGAGAATGTTTGGTATGCGTTTCTCACCACCCAAATGCAAATTGTTGCTCCAGGATTTGTCTTCAACGGTGTCAGGGCTAACAATAGAGTGTAGTGGTTGAGTGTGTCGACCACTTGACTTACCTGGGAGGTGGGATCAGCCCTGGTGGCTCATTGGCCGACGAAATTTCTGCACGAATACAAAAGGCTCGGCTGGCTTTTACCAACCTACGCCACCTATGGCACCGCTGTGATATCCGACTGTCTATTAGGGGGTCTCTTATACTGCACAGCAGTCCGGTCTGTTCTACTGTATGACTGTGAAACATGACCATTGAAGGTGGAAGACATGAGAAGGCTTCAGGTATTTGACCACCGTCGCCTTCGAAGTATAAGCCATATTCCATGGTGTCACCACGTGAGTAACGCAGAAGTCAGGTGTAGAGTTTTAGGGAGAAGAGGTAAATCAGTTGACTAGGTTATGAATCTTCATCGACTGAAGTGGTTGGGACACGTGTTAGGTATGCCTAGTCGCAATCTACCTCGTCACACAATGTTGGCCGAAGTAGGTGCAGTCTGGAAAAAGGCCCAAGGTAGTCAGACTAAAACATGGCATCAATGTGTGAAGTCTCTGACTGTTGGTTTGAGCCATGTGGGGCAATGTAGACTAGCCAGTTGGGGTCTGCGGGATAAGAGGAACCAGTGGTTGGAGACTCTAGGTGATATGGCTCAGGACCGATGTCAGTGGCGCAGATGTATACACACATCATCCTCATCTTAACGACGCTATACCGAATCCCACTATTTTCTCATTCTTCCTTTCTCTCTTTTCGTACTTTATATTTCTTTTGACTGAATTTTCTCGTCTTCATCTTGCACTTCACAGCCTTTTTACTTGATGTACTGATATGAGGTGTGGCAACTCGGACCGTAACGCAGTAATGCCTGGTCCTATGTTGATACTGATGATGATGATGATGATGATATCATTTTCCTTAACATTTCTTGGGTAAAATAGTCAAAATTTGTATTCATTGAAAGAAACTCAAACTGAAGTTCGGATTTATTTTTAAAATTGTGAAGGTTGGTAAGACGAAGACGAAACACCAATGCATTAATTCAGTGACTCAGTTGTGTCTGGGGGAGCGGAGTCACTTTGCTAAAATCTTCAGCATATTGAGAATCAATAGCTTGGGTTCATCTGTGTCGTTCAAACTGACCACAGATGTATTTACTCTCTTTCTGATCTTAAAACTCTATATCTTGCCGGTCTTTTTTTGTTCGTTTTTCCTGACTATCCTTCCCCTTTATTTGATCTATTCCCCGTTCCGTTAATCTTCTCTATGCTATTGCGAAGTGTTGCAATTTCATCCGTTTTATTTTTGCCCGAGTTCTTAAGTTATTCTTTTTGTTGGAATCACTGTGAATCAAACAAGATGAGTGAAAGTGACACATGCACCACACTTTTATAGATCACTAGAATATGAGAGTCTCGGACGTCTCCCTTAAACGGGAATTTATGTCTGAATTTTATTTCTTATAAAGAAATAATAGAACTTTCGCGAAAAAGTACTTAAAATGCATACTGGAGCTCCTGGAAAGTTTTATAGACTTTGCCGTAATAATATTGCCGGAAAAAGTAAAATCATCCTGAAACAAGGTTAAATTCAATAAAGCCAGATTTATTTGATGTAGCTAAACCCGTGTTTTGATACAAGTCCGCAGAAAATAGATTATTTTGGGAAATGATGACTAAACCCGTTGTTGTAGCTTGTTACAGGCATGTCTTACTTGTCTACACCGCGTCTATGGGCTATGGATGCCGATACAGCGACTCTACAAAATTCACCCCTTGAGTTATCTTCGTTTTGCAGGTGTAGGCATGGTATTGACTTCTCTGCAGAAAGTACACTGCTGAACGCCATTCCTATTAACATTCGCCTGTCCGCTGCTCGACTGAAAGGTGTGGTGAGGACTGGAATAGCGGTGAAACCTCTCGTTGTACTATTTTAATCTCAGCTTGCGCATCTATTGACTGCAGCTCGCTCGGACGAAGTGAAGGATGAGTTCTACTTAAAACTGTCTACCCTCCTGAAAACCAAATGTTCAGAAGTGATTTTCGTAGCAGGTGACTTCAATGCACTAGTGGGTAAGCCAACTCAGGCAGAAAAGCACTTAGGTGGCACATTCAGAACCTCGGCCGAATGAACAGATAACAGCGATTACCTGTTACAGCTGTGCTCGGACAACTACCTAATTCTGGTCAGCATGAAATTCAGATAGAAAAGTGAACTGCCTGCCCTAACGTCCTAGAAGAAAATAAGGTAGTTTTCATACATTGCCATGGGTGAACTTTGAGTCAATGTATGTATTTTACAGGATTTTAATTCGTTTTTTATTTGAAAGTATCAGAATTTAATTTTCTTGGGCTTTCTTACCTAATCAAATGCTACAGAAATATGTCTCAAGGCGTTTTCTGAAATTAGTGTTCTGTGTTTATAAATGACAATCTACGTTCGGTCTTTATTTTCCATTTTATGTATACAGGTTGTTATTATATACTAGTGTGTCAAAATACTAGCTTTCTGCAACAAGGTGTTGTTTGAAAGTGAAACCAAAGCCAGGTTGCAGTATAGATGTAAAGTGTCCTCCTCCAGGTTACCGAACGTTTCATCTACCAGGTAATCTGCAAGTTCGAGCCGCTAATCACCTTTTGACTTCACATCACTAACCAAGGGTTTTTCTCAGCTGTCATGTGAATGAGTGATGCGTAATTGTCCATGCATCGAAATCATAATAATAAATGCCCATCCTCAATCCAACTAGAGCTTAATTAGACACTGAGTGACTGTTAAAAATGATTTGAAATTTGATGTGCACAAAACTTCGTGTTAAATTTCATGTACATCCTATGCATTCTACTCACCCGCTTCACAAGTTCATATCACTAGCATTTTGTTTATCATTGTAGCTTGCAATACTCTTAAATCCTTTGCATTTTCTCTTTACGTCTTCATATAAAAACAGCCAACCATTGCAGGTAATGAAGCGAGAGATCAAATTAGACGAAGATCTTTTCACTTTGACGGGTCACGATATTTTTCTTGGTTACCTTCTCTGCATGTTGAATTATCTGAAGTAAGTCACTATTTGGCTTTTAACCTTGAGTAATTCCATCTATTATATGGCAACACTTTTTTATGAGGTTTGTAATATTGGGTTTATATGTAGTACGATAGTAGTCTTTCCCTAAACAGTAACAATAATTAATCATGTCTCAAAGTATTTAGATTTTCATATCATAGAAACCACATAGCTTCATAAGTCTGCTAAAGCGAACATGTAGTTCTATCTGATTGTTCAGACCGACCGGCTTAAGTAGCTTTAGACTTCCTGATGTGTTGTTTTGACAAGGTATACATTCGGAATGCAGTATATTTTGTCCAGTTATATAACTGAACGACATACGATCAGTAGATCCTTTACCTTTCCCTAAACCACACGAAATGAATAGTCGTCAGGGCCATGGTTGCCTTTGTAATTAATTGGATGATCAAGCGTGCCTAGATGAGATGGTTGTATTTGATCACGGCTGCTGAAAGGTAGAAATCTGTTATGAAACATGAAAAAGTACAAGTACTGTGAGCAGGTTTTGTGAGGATCAAAGATTTTATCTAGTTGACTCAGACTTACGAATTACTAAGTGTCATCATCATCAATATCAACATAGGACCAGGCATTACTGCGTTACGGTCCGAGTTGCCACACCTCATATCAGTACATCAAGTAAAAAGGCTGTGAAGTGCAAGATGAAGACGAGAAAATTCAGTCAAAAGAAATATAAAGTACGAAAAGAGAGAAAGGAAGAATGAGAAAATAGTGGGATTCGGTATAGCGTCGTTAAGATGAGGATGATGTGTGTATACATCTGCGCCACTGACATCGGTCCTGAGCCATATCACCTAGAGTCTCCAACCACTGGTTCCTCTTATCCCGCAGACCCCAACTGGCTAGTCTACATTGCCCCACATGGCTCAAACCAACAGTCAGAGACTTCACACATTGATGCCATGTTTTAGTCTGACTACCTTGGGCCTTTTTCCAGACTGCACCTACTTCGGCCAACATTGTGTGACGAGGTAGATTGCGACTAGGCATACCTAACACGTGTCCCAACCACTTCAGTCGATGAAGATTCATAACCTAGTCAACTGATTTACCTCTTCTCCCTAAAACTCTACACCTGACTTCTGCGTTACTCACGTGGTGACACCATGGAATATGGCTTATACTTCGAAGGCGACGGTGGTCAAATACCTGAAGCCTTCTCATGTCTTCCACCTTCAATGGTCATGTTTCACAGTCATACAGTAGAACAGACCGGACTGCTGTGCAGTATAAGAGACCCCCTAATAGACAGTCGGATATCACAGCGGTGCCATAGGTGGCGTAGGTTGGTAAAAGCCAGCCGAGCCTTTTGTATTCGTGCAGAAATTTCGTCGGCCACTGAGTGCAGCAGATCTTCACACTGATTTCTGATCCTGGCTTTGACATCCTCATCTGTGCCGTCGCCTGTAGTTGAGACGATGCTGCCTAGGTGGTGGGTGAAAGATGCTACTTCCTATAAGTTTTTCCCGTTGATGGTAATTGGTGCTTGTTGTTGATGCTGTTGTTGGCTGGTTATCTTCATCACCTGTGTCTTCTCTACGTTCACCTGAAAGAAGACCCGTCTTCCCTGCCCTGCCTCTTCTGTCAACTTGTTGGTTTTTGTTTATAGATTTTCTACTCTCTGCTATAAGATATCAGACGTAAATCACCGGCGATATCCAAATCTTCTAGAGTCTTATCACCAGTCAAACAGCGTATTCCCATCTGGCTTCTCACAGCTGGTTGCATGATCCAGTCCATTCGAGTCGACCACATTCAGGAAGATCATCGGTGGTATTAGGCAACGTTGTCTTACTCCTGTCTTCACTTCACTTCAATTCTAAGGCATCACTGAGCTTTCTATTGTGAATCACTTGGCATGTAGTATCATCATATAGCATATAGTTGTTGAATGAGGTTGATAAAGGTTTGTGGCACTAAAACCATAGTGTTGAAGCAGTTTCCAAAATACTTCTCGAATGCCTTTTCAAAGTCGATGAAGTTGAGGTATAGAGTTGACTGCCAATCTATGCTTTGTTCTATGATGATGCGTGGCGTTGCAATTTGGCCCTCACATGATTTATTGTTCGTGAAGCCGACCAGCATGTTCTGGTCGTAATTTTGAATCCAGAACATTTTAGAACATTTAGTCTCTGGCGGATGATGCAGCTTGATATTTTGCGTGGGTTGGACAGAAGTGGAGCATGATTCCTCGTCAGTTCTTGCAAAGAGTTCCAGTCGGCTGGTACCCTTCCTTTCTTCCAAACCTTCTGCAGTAGTGGTGTGAGCATGTCCACTGTTGTCTCTGCGTCTGTTTTCAGTGCTTCTGGTCCTACTGCTTTCCTGGCTTTCAGTAACTTTATGGAGTTCAGGACTTTACTTTGGCTTTTGTCGGAGGGCCTATGTTCACCGATAGTTCTGTGGTGGGGCTGCTGGTGGTATTCCTGAACCAGTTGCAGGTGGTGATGGTAGTAGATTCAAGATTATTTTGAAGTGGTCAGCCCATTGTTTCCTTTGTTTCTCCTCTTTGGTGGTAAATAAGTTTCCTTCACTGTCTTTCATTGGTTTCATCTGTGTTGATCTCTTGCCAGATAGTAACTTGGTTATTTGATACTGTGTTGTCAAATCTCTCCTACCAGCAGCCTGTTCTGCTTCACTTGCAAGTGTGTCGTAAAAGTGTCTTTTGTCTCTGTGTGCACTCTTCTTCACTTCCTTGTCCAGTGTAGTGTTTTATACGTTGTACTCAGTTCCTCTTTTCGTTGTTCATCCCTGCACTGCACTGCACTGCACTGGTTCATCTTCTTCACCATCACCATCTTCTCTTTCATCAGTTTCCATGTAGGGAACCGTGGAGATCCACTCCTTGTCCTGTCTTGTTTCTTCTTCCGTCCTAACACGCTTATGCAGGTTTCCTTTCAAGGAGTTCCAGTGTTCTTCCACTCAGGTTTTCTGGGGGATGTTGATCACTATCTCCCATTTTGTCTTGATGACTGACTGAAGTGAAGATGTCCTTCGTAGTTTCGTCCCTCAGTTCAGTTTCTGTCTTGTGTGTTCAACTTGTTTTGTGGTTCATCACCAGCTTCTGTGAAGGCTTTCAACTTGATTTCAAAGGTAGGTTGCTTGCTCTAGAAACTGAGTGGTATGTACCCACATCTGCTCCTCTTCTTGACGTTGTTCCCAGTAGGCTGTCTCCACTTTCTTCACACTGATCGATCTAGTCGATCTGATTATTAGTGTGTCTTGTGTCTGATGAAATCCATGTGGCTTTGTGAATATCCTTGTGTTTGTGTACACACTGTCTCCAATCACCAAATCGTTGAATGCACAGAATTCTGCAAACAATTCTCCATTCTCGTTCATTTCATTGAGTGCTTCTCGACCCATGGTTTGGTTCCTCTCCTGTGTTATCCGCTCCCAGTTTGGCATTCATGTCACCCAACCCATTGGAATTTCGATGCCGCCAACTGGATTGGCTTGTTGTCCATTACTGATTGCAGTTGTCTATAGAATTCCTTCTTCTTCTCTTGCTCTGCATTATTTGTAGGTGCACAGCGTAGCATTGTATGACTGTGAATTTCCTTCCTTTTGAGTTGAATCTTGCTGTCATGACCCTGATGCTGGAGGAGATTGGTTCCCACTGCATGAGAGCCTTCGATGCTGTTAGGGACATCATGATAGCCACTCGAAAACTCAGTGTGCCCGTGGTTGTCGTCTGGGTGACAATATCGGAGTAGATTATTGACTCTCTAGTTGACAGTTTGGAGAGCCCACTTCCATTCCATCTGCTTTCACAGATTCCTAGCACTTCTTTGTTATACCTTCTCTTCTCTTTTGAAATCTGGTCAGCCTTGCTAGGTTCACACATGGTGCGGACATTCCACGTCTCCATGTTTACTTTTGCTTTCATTGAGAGACGACACATTGGCCAACTGGCTTCCCGAAGGCTTTCACCAGCTGGCGTCATTTCGTCTCTCTGATTCTAACGAGGAATAATTTTGTTTTTATTTTCTATATTTTGTTTGTGTTTTGAAGTTTCTTTAGCGATTTGATTTGTTTTCCGAGGTAGGGTTGCTAGCCCTTTGCCCAAGCTTCCCTCTTTATCCTGGCTTAGGACCGGCTAGTAACTAGTGAACTAGTTAACTAGGCGAGGTTGATTTCTGCCTTGGCCATACTACCTAGTTTCGTCGCAAACATCGTTTGAGAAAGAATTGGTCATGTCATTTAGTGTTCGGATTGGTTTCCTGTAGTGGAAATTACAAATAAATCCGGTATGATAGGGTTGCAACATCAGGGAGACTGCGACAAACAGCTAGATACATTGAGATTGGTATCATCACGTGTTGCGATGTGCGCCATCATTCAGTCAATTCTGGTTGAATCTATGTTTCAGGAGCCACAGTATAACTGTGATCTTTTAGACACTGAGTTACAAATGGAGACTGTTGCTGATGCTTTTTCTCACCATTTGAAACATTGTTTGTTTTACAGTTGGTCTTTACTAAAGCCCTATCTCATTTAAGGCAGTGAGATGGTTAGCCATGTCGATTACTTGATTACATGAATATCTAGGTCATCACTAGTTGGTTTGTTCCTCTTACACCAACTTACAGCACAAATGAGCTATCTGATTGCCAAAATATACTCAAGTATAACAAGCAGCAGTCCACTTTGCTTCACCATATTGTTATTGGAGAGCTGTATTTGTCTTCTTGTGGATGCGTTCGTATAATGTTTCTGCTCGGTAAGGGGAAGAATCCCCTGATTCGTGTATCATGAAGAGGTCCGACCTTGAACTGGAAAATGAGCCAGAAATTGGAGTGAGTGTCTCTATTGTGGTGCTGAGGCTTATTTATTTAGGTACTTGATTTCCAACTGATGGATTAGGTGTCTAAATCCCACTCCACATTCCGAGGTTTGGGCAGCGAAGTATTGATGTCATTAGCCCTCACGCAATAAGTATGACTCGTTTCTTACTACACAAACTTGCGTGAGGTCGTTTACTTGAGAATTTTGTTGTTTCTCTTGGGACAATTTTCCTGCCTTAATGAACATCATCTGAGTTACTATTTTTTGTATATATATATATATATATATATATATATATATATATATATATATATATATATATATATATAACTGTATCTTTGAAATATTATTATTCAGGTATTTCGCGAGGTATTCCATGTGGGTGGAATTCAAGGTTTCGGTGGTATTCAACCTAACAATATGGTTGGTGAACTGAATAATCAAGGTGCAAATGTTCGTGGCCAGAATATGGGATTTATTGATACCAACGCTCATAACTCCCAACCAAATAACAATAATGATGTAAATGCATTCCCAATTTATTTACGTGTTGCTGTTGACCAGTTAACTAATATGTTCCCACAATTTCCACGTTCTGTAATAATTGGGGAACTCTTGGCAACTGGTGTTCCAGATTTAGCAGCGGAAAATCTGATTGCACGGTCACCACCAGTTGTATCTACTTCAAATTCTAGTAATTTAATTTCCACTTCTAGTGGTACTTCTGGGCATCATAGTGTAAGTCAAATTTTAACTATAAAGTTTCCTAACTCACTTAAATATCTGAAGTGCTGTTTGGGAAGCGCTTTATTTCGATATTCCTCCAGTTCATCGGACGGAGTGAATTCTTCCTAAAGTACTGTGGAATGATTGAGGATGGGGTGATCCCAGTCATCCTTTAAAATGCTCTCAAACGACCACACTTTCATAGCCTTTGCCAAATAAATCGAACTCACTGTCTTCATGTGGTAAGGTTTGTACAGACTAAAGCTTATATTCGGCGTTTATAGGCAGAGTGATGGATACAGGGGCTCCATCAAGAGGATTTGAAAACTCTATTTCTAAATCAGTTTTTAGAGTTGTGTTTCACAATCCAGAAGGTACAAGTAGAGTACCAACTTGCTTGATCACCAAAAATCATGTGAGTACTGCATCTTACTTTGTTCTGTTGCCTTGTTGATCAAACTTCACTTCGAAAGCTTGGGAAGTGGTCGTTTCAAACAACCACCTGGATCGTATAGGAAAAAAGCTTGAGCACTTCGGTAGATTATAATTCTATTTTAGTGTACCACACACTGAGACAGTATTATTTACCGGATAACATTTCGAATACAACTCATTGTTCATGCTCCTGTCAGGTAACTCCACAATTTTGAGACATGGTTTATTTAGTTCTAATTTGCCCTCCCCTTTCGTTATAAAGGTATTATAATTTTCTACATATTTGGAAATGATGCTGAATCATTCCCATTGCATGTATTTGGTGTTGACTCAATGAACAAAAATTCGGTTATTAATCTCTCCCTCCACCCATCTAAGTTAGTTTTTGATACTTTCGTTCTGTCCCATCCTGTTGTGTGTAATCATATGCTTACCAATAGCCGAACGTTTCCCTAGGTTTTTTTGTCTAATCAGAATCCATCAATCTTGATTTAGCTAACTTTTTGTATAGACACACAGACAAAATCCAAGCTGAACCTCACACAGAAATGGAACACTTCATATACAAAAAGCAAGTGGTTAAAAAAAGAGTGATATCAAAGTAGGCTACGTTTTGTGAGACAGTAAACAATCGGAAGATAAAATTCAGTGCAAATATTCAAGCTTTAAAAGATGTCAAGGAGGAAACTCATCGCTATTGTGACCGATTTTAAGCCGTCACCAAAAGTCAACCAAAACGAAGCATTGTAGATATCTGTAGAAGGATGACATGCAATATCTGCACATTTTCTAAATATAATACTTAGAACACCATCAGGATTCTAGGTTTTGGTATGGATTTCAGACATTTAACTACTTCATTTGTACTAAAACCAGGAGAGCAGCTATCCAGTTGACTATGGGCACTAGGAAGGATGACATCAGCTTGTTGACGTACAAATGACTGGTTTAACGTGCAGACATCCAAACAAGCTTCTTTTGATATCTGTTTTCTATTAGTAAGCTCTTTAAGTAATTTCCACATAATGGAAGAGTTCTTACACGATAGGAACTTCCAGCTGTACATAGTATTTTGGACGTTGTATTTGAGATTTAATTAGGTAGTTTAGTCTTTCAAAACCAGCGTGATCTCTCACCTTATACGACCTTTTATTTTCTCTCTGAAGCTTCTTGAGATGAGGAGAGGAAAGTCGGACAAATCTCATGAAGACATTTTCAACAGAGCAGCATCTGTCGAGACAGAATTGGAGATAGCTTGTGATATTAGTGATAGTGTTGTCTAAATCTCCATCAATAAATACATCCCATTCTGTTTCATTAAACATACTTCTCAAACATAGTATATTCTCGTGTACTAGACTTTCGTGAAAGGTGTCCAAAAGCCTTCTTATGCAATTTGCCATACACTTTGGGCAAAACCTGTAAAATACAGTGGTCAGAACTCAGTAGTTGAAGTCAGGCGAAGGGTACTAGGCAAGACGATTGATGAGGTTGTGAAGCTCAGCCGACTGAGGTGGCTTGAACATGTACTGTAAATGCCGACCCACCCACCTCGACACGCAGTGCTAGAGGGAGCTGGTTTCGAATGGAGGAGGGTTCACAGTGCATAACACTTTTTATGTATCATCAGTAATTAAGCGTCACAAATCAACAACACGCCACCAATATTTCCATTGTGCATATCTGCCTCTAAATCTAGGCAAAATGAATTGTAAAAATAGCAACCAAAATAGTTTCGTAAAGATTATCTCCTGTTATTCGAACAATAATGCGAATTTGATCATTATTCCTCAGAATAAACGCTTGTGCATATCATTTCATATCACTGTCATTCAAGTTTTTCACATCAAACTATATCGTTCACTTACCGAAAGGAATGATAGTGGGATTCTACAAAATTGTAGTATTATTTTCTACCGCGTGGCTTTATAAACAGAATCTGTGATTCCGACTGTGTTTGAGATGTTACATCCTCAAAAATGAACGTTGTATGCTTAAATTTTATAAATTTATCTAATGGAAGGTTTGAATTATCTTTCCCGCCAATTTTTCCGTCGCATGCTGTTTTCCTATTAATTACTCTCCCACTTTTAAGATGCTATTTTGTTTGTTCGCCTCAAGAGTACATCTATTGTATATAAACGCAAGTTGTGTCCCTACATTGTACCTTCATACTTCGGTTGGAGTAAACTCGCTTCAGTCTAACATTGTCTTCTTCTTGTGTCAGCTAAGCCAGTTGTCGACCGTCGTATCATTCGTCCAGTAACTAGGTTACGTGTCCCCAGTTAGTCGTATCCAAGAGTCTCAACAGACTAAATGCTTGTGAATGATTTAGTCTTCATATCTCCGTTGTTTTGAAAGCATGTTTAATGATAAGCTCAGCCATATTGGAGTGAACCACTTCGATTTCGTTAGATTGTTGTAACTGATTTCAGTGATCTACCCTTGTTAACCAGTAGTGTTTGGTGTACAATAATACACTTCTAGGCATATGACAGTGAAATTTCTCGTTTGTTGTCAACCTAGACATTCATATCTAATCTCATGATTGCTAGGACATACAAAACTTCAGATTTTCCAGGAAACTACAAATCTCTAGAATGTAAAACGTGAACACTATGACAGTATAGTTTCATATTAGATTAGTTTATTTGATATGACATACTCATACTGCATTATCTGTAAACAGTCAGAGCTAGCGATATAATCCCAGAATTTTGAGGAAATTCATTAACTTCAAGTAAAACTACTCGGTTGAATAACTTCCTGAAATCAACGTTATTAGACCTAGAGGCCGAAAGGAAAACCAGGGTTACCCGTACATATATACATAGAACAGCATATTGTGTATTTGTTAAGGTTGCCTACAGGTATATTATTTTATTGCCGTTTCCATTTCTAAGAAGTCAAGTGCTAAGTCTAGTGGTATTTAAGGATTATTGTACACATATTCAACTTTTTCATTTAGCAGCGTCAAGTCATAATTAATTTCAATGCTCAGTTTTTTTCACCTAGAGCATTCATTTATTTTGTCATCTGTCGTTGTGTTGTGTGGCTAAGTTAACTGCTTTGGAATTTCGCTATGATGATGTTATGCTTGTTGAAAGTTTGTCCCTGTCTTGTATTCATCCTGTTTGCTATTATTTATCTACTTTCGTTTTTCCCCTTAGGGCAATCCATTCACTTCAACAAATGGGAGTAATGATGAAACGACAAATCAACCTGTATCCAGCTCTCCTTTATCTAATGAGCCACTGGATACAACAGAAAACGACGATGAAGATGAAGGCAGTATGAATTTATCTTTTACCGCTAGACGTAAATCGATGCTGTCGAAAGCCAGAAGACGTTTCATGGCTAGATTTAATAATACTGCCTAGTTTCACTTTCGCTTTTTGTTTCATTTTCCTGCACATTATAGATGATTTATCTTGACTGTCATTTTGTATTACTAATACTAAATATCTTTACTCTATTAATACTACTATTTGTTGATGCTACTATGTCGACGGCACCTGTTATTGTTCCTATTGATTTCACTGAATATTTATTTTGCCACTCAACTTGTATTCACAGTCATTGTATGGCACCTGGATCTGTTGTTTCACCAATGCTACTAGCGTTATATTTTTTATGAATTACTACTAGTGTACTGGGATTACTGTCCCCATTTTTCGAGTATGTGCATATTTGTACATCTCAATACACTTTATAATCATAAAGCTCGTGTAGAATAAAAGAAAAAGTGATTTGTACTGTTGTCGTCTGCAACATTACATAAACTCCATTTAAATCAATATCCACGTAGTCCAAGAGTGAGAGAGATGCAAAATCCTACTCCTTTATGTTACTATATCACAAGATAACATGCCTGTTTGTGCTTGTCTGTTTTTGTTTTTTTGATCCAAAATCTTTATTTTACTCAAGTGGTGGGCAATGTCTGTTGTATATTTCTCTCTGAAGTAGTATTCCTCCTCTTGCAGTTCTGTAGATTTTGTGCTTTTTTCCATTCAGGCCTTGATCACCATCAGTTTGGTGTTGGCGATTTTTTTTGTCTACCTTTTTTCTGTGTCTTTCATCATATGGTTTTGCTGTGTCTCGTTTTTCCCTCTCTTTCTTCTCTTTTTAAGGTTTTGCACGCATACAAATGTGTATATGTTGAGCACTGTTCATTAGTTGCCCACTTTAAAGTAACTAAACGACTAGCAGTAATTGCGGCTTTGAATATTCAGCTTTTCTTTTATTTAGTGAAAAACTGTAATAAGTTTTTCATTCGCCTACTTCATGTAAAAGCCTAAATAAGAGAATTGAGTTTTTTGAAATTTGCTTATTCACTCTTTTCTACTTGTTTAAGGGATGCATTTTCTAACATCATGTCTAGGAGCAAAGCTTTGTTTATAACACTATATCTATGCGTATGTGCGTTAATCAGTAGTTTATCAAGAAGCGGTCGATTCTGTGACAGTGATTACTCTTGTAAATGATTGAAATTGATAAGTTGACCATGGTGTATTTAGCAAACTAAATGATGTTAGACTTGCTTACATATTCGGTGTTACTGCTACATCTGATGTTGGGTAACATTAGCTTAGGTTTCAGACATAGAAAACACCAACCTGCTGAATGTTACCGATATGTGCCAATAAACACTAAGATTAATTGAACACTTGCGTATATGTGTGACATTACTCTGAGCACCCAACTCTTACGTAACGAGTCATGGGTTCAAAAACCGCTCTATTCACGCGAACAACTAAGTTGTGTCATAAACCCTTATAAACTGAATGTGACCTCTAGAGTAGTAGGTAAGCCCGGTACCTGATTTTCGAGTTGAATCACTGCCTGATGAACATAATAATCGGGTACATTGCAAATATGTAGTTCATCAGTCTAGACACAGCTTTCAAATAATGAGTTGTGTCAAATCGAAAATAGCGATCGCTGGACCCCAGCCAAAGTGACGCGGGAAATCCAAAAACTCCGCAACAAAAATAGTGAGGTTTACTGCCTAAACGATACTTTAACTGTGGTGCTTTCAGATGGTCAAATTGCCGAATCAATTATAAGAAAGAATCATCAAGCGGTAGTCAGGTGATTCCTCAAAATAACCAAGAAAATTCAACACAAATCAATCGGGCAGATAAAGGCAATCAATCAGAGTAAAGGTCACAAGTCCAAAATGGATTAGAATAGGGAAGAAAGCATAAAACTGTAAACAGATGTAGGAGAAAATTTCAGTCAAACAAGGATGGGTGGGTAGGGAATACGTCGCAAATACAACTTGTTGGAGTGCTAGGATTGACACAGAGATGAGAGAAGAACTAATAATATGTTCGAATACCCCCAGACTTATTAGTTCTCACACTAAAGGTGTGACTTATTGTCTAGTGCATATGCTTACGAAGTTACATTTTTTTCCGAAAACCAGGAATAATTAAATTACCAGTCTTTCAATGCTTTCTCACCAATCAACTTGAGGTAGGTGGAGGATATGCACCTAAACTTTAAGATGCATATGAAGGAATAAAATCCTTACACCTACAGATTCGAAATCAATTAAATAATCTAAGAAATTAAAGCCAGATGAATGAAACAAATATCCAGGAAGATCATTTGAGAGTGATCAAAGTTTGCATTCCTTACGAGTATCGACTCGTGATGCATCTTAATGATAATTCACTATAGACTCAATCCCAACTCCAGATTTCAGACTGTGCCACCGAAATTACACACCACTACACTTATTGTATGGAGACTACGTGACTTCTAACCTAGATAGTTTCGAATTCATGACCCATTATGGAAAAACAAGATGCTTTGGCTGATGAACTACATTTCCATGAGTTTGAATAATGATAAAGAAATTAAACTGAACAACTGCATATCTGCTCGTGCACCAGACAGGCTGATGGCACTTTATGGTTGTCTAAACGTCGATAGGTGGGGCAGGTTTCATACCCGTGGCTGGAGTCAGTGAGCCACAGCTCCACCAATGGATATGATACGGTGCATCATCCTTAAAATATGACTTCAAGTTCACCCCATATGCTATATAACAACTTCCTACTTTTTAGGTTTGTTTTTAGTTCATGCACTTTTACGCTCCTATCCTATCATATAAGGTCACTTTTCAACCTTGTGTACATATCACATGAATATTTGTGTATTTCTTTTGCCCATTAAATAAACTTTTATTTTATTGATCATATTTTGGCAATGCTTAGGTTTGTAACGAAGAAAAGTGAAAATTTAAGGTTTTTTTTTACTGCAAGCTGTAGAATAGTAAATACTACGAGAATGTTTATTATTTCATCAAACATTTTATCGACTTCCTAACTGGAAATTGGGAAATAACTTACCAGGCTTACTGGGAATATACATTAGATGCTTGGATTTTGGGTCCAACTTGCTTCGTTACTTCGTAGAATACGAAAGTCATCCAGATAGATGAACGTGGGTTGGGCAGTCGACTTTCAACTACTGGGTCACGTGTCCAAATATCACTTTGCTTGCCGAAGTACGGGTATCGCTCACAATGGGTGTGACTCATTGCCTACTTCACAAATGTCTACAAGAAGCCTGAGTGGATTTCGATTCCACATAAATGTGAATGACAAGAGGTAATGTTGTAATGATGTTGACTACCAATATACTGTCAAAATGGTACGAATACAAGTGAGCACTACATTGATTATCAAAGTGAATAACTTATGTTCTTTTACTTGTCATAGTTTTTATGCAAGTAAGTGTTTTTAAATAGTAAAGAGCCCAAATGAAAATCAACATTTTAAGTCATCAGCCCGTAAGATATGAGTTTCGGATTTCAACTTATGTCTCAGATCACTATATGGTCAGGAAAAACCTTACTGAACAGTTTGTCGTACAGTTGACCAATCGAAACAAGTTGTTTACCTTTTGAACTAGTTATTTTGTATGTTTATGAAAATCGTATATAAGTGATGTATTTTTGTCCAATGAAGTGTCTTCCTTACAGTCACAGACCGATCTTTGTCTTCTGATTTTTGAGGTGCAGTGAGGTATAATGTTCCGAGAGAGAACAGTGGCTATTCATATGCAGTCCAAGTGTCTCGTCGTGTTAAATATCGTTCGTGTATTTAGTAAAGCAAACAATGTGAGCGAAGAAATATTTCTTTTCAATTAGTTCCTCATTAATGGCTCTACACTAATATAGCATTTTCAAACGTAAAATTACATACCAATCTAATGGTGAGAGTTGTTCAATGAAAGGTTATCAATCTCAAAGTATCAAGAAGGTGATAATTGATCAGGTAATTAAGACAGTTAACTAAAGCAAAGATTATCGTAGAAAGATTTTGTGAACAGGTTCTTACATAATTGATATTTTGTATAATGATAACTAAAGAGCGAAAATGAACTGTTACCTAAAATGGTAAATTGTTGGCGGTAATTAGAGACAGTAGGGGGAGAAGAAGATGGTTAAGTCTGTAATAATAATAACAATAATAGAGCCATTAAAATATTAGTTATAGTGAATTGTGTGGTGGATGAAATGAAGAGTCTTGTTGTAATAAATGAGCTATACAGATGGCCAAGGCAAAGAAAGAGGCTGTACGAATCTCTTCTGAACACACAGACTTGGCTTGTGTAGGTGGATTCCTATGGCTTCTACTGTATGTAGAAGACGAACTCCTAGAGGAGGAGTGAGGTGAGAAGGAATGTGATAAATAACTTTAAAGGCATTATGAATGTTAACTCGGTGGCCGATGTCAATCAAATGAGAGAGTATTGAGCTTCGTGTCAATCTGGTTTCCCCCTTACTTAGCTATGAAGGATGATGCTCGGCGATTCGACGACGGGCTTGCTTAACTGTACGTCCAATGTAACTAGCTCCACAGGAGCGGTTGAACTGGTAAATGCACATAGAAGAGGAGAAGTCAGGGAGTCTGTCTTTAGTTCGTGTGGTCATCATCGGCCGGCTGTAGAAAACACAACATAACTTGGCGTCGTTAAATGATCTTCTTATGGCATTTCTTAAGCGTTGTGTCAAAATTTCGCTGATGATGTCACCTCGACATTGTGACACAACGCTTAAGAAATGCCATAAGAAGATCATTTAACGACGCCAAGTTATGTTGTGTTTTCTACAGCCGGCCGATGATGACCACACGAACTAAAGACAGACTCCCTGACTTCTCCTCTTCTATGTGCATTTACCAGTTCAACCGCTCCTGTGGAGCTAGTTACATTGGACGTACAGTTAAGCAAGCCCGTCGTCGAATCGCCGAGCATCATCCTTCATAGCTAAGTAAGGGGGAAACCAGATTGACACGAAGCTCAATACTCTCTCATTTGATTGACATCGGCCACCGAGTTAACATTCATAATGCCTTTAAAGTTA